TTATTTATCTACAGAGGATCAGAAAGACAAATGCCCTGTGTGCCTAGCATGTATCTACCAGCCTGAAACCTTACCCAAGTGCAAACATACATTTTGTAAGCGATGTCTCCAAGAAGCCTTGAAGAAGTCACCAATGTGTCCACTGTGTAGAGATCCAGTACAAAAAACCTCTGGCAAACGGTCCAAAGGTACCATGGTACATCGTTCAGAGTCACTCCGCTTGGGAGCCCGGTATGAAGGCAGTGGTGCTATGATGTATAATGATACACTGCCGATATCTACAGACGGACAACCCAAAGGTACCATGCAACATCGTGTACAGCCTTTCAACTTGCCAGGGTATGTACATTGTGGAACTATATTGATACAGTACTCAATGAACAGTGGCATTCAAGGCCCGCAACATCCAAACCCTGGTCAGCGGTATGATGGCACTTCTCGTACTGCCTATCTCCCTGACAACCATCAAGGTCGTGAAGTCATGAGGCTGTTAAGGAGAGCCTTTGATCGTGGATTGGTGTTTACGGTAGGACGGTCAATGACGTCAGGATATGATAATCAGATAGTATGGGGGGATATTCCACATAAGACGTGCATCAATGGCGGTCCTTCCAAGTAAGTCAATAGGCATTAATTTTTACTCGTTTGTGTATAACTATTCTAATCTACAGGTTTTAATAACAAAGTGCTTCCAATAATTGTGTAAAAAGATTAATTTTACACTCAACTGTAGTTTTGTTTTCAAAGATTGTTTTTTAGTTATGTTTTCAAAGATTATTGTTTTCCGCACTCATTAATAAAAGCTACTGAATGAGATTGACATGTTTACAAATGTCATGTGTGATATCATAGACAACATGAAGCGAACCCATTTTGTTCAACAAAGAATGATGCGAGTTGTAAATAATCCTCTTGCATTTTATGGCCCCTAAAAATCTCCCAAAAAGACGTTTTTTTATTGCACAAAATGGCGTCGCTGAAGATTGCCTATTAAAGACTCTTTAGGTCCCTTAAAAGGGTCTCACAGACATCTCATTCATTTTCAGTTATGGATATCCAGATTCAACGTATTTAACCGAGGTTCAACAAATGCTTAAAGCTATACTAAATACCTGAATGAATGCATTTCCACTGATAGAATTGACTGAGACGAATTGTTGGTGGCACCCCTCATGATCAGTACTGTTTTAATAATATTGTTCTTTATCAACAAGGAACATTATTAGCATATATATTTAGCCGTAGAACTGGTCATACTAAATTGTTCAATTAAAATTGCAGTTTCTATTGGCTTTTGTTGTATAAAAGATTGAAATAAAATCTAGTTAGCTATGTTGCCTGAGTTGAATTTTTCCATTTTATGATAACCAATTACAAACACGATGTGTTACCAAATGTACATTAACTTAGTGTTTGCAATTTAGTTAAGTTGTCGCTTTTTACATCATAATAACATGATTAACTTATAACTGCAATTCAGTTTATGACGTTTCGTTGATGGATATGGGATCTTCTCTAGATCTTAAGAGAATATCGATGACTTCTCCAATACACGGGCGAGCATCGGGGTTGCGTAGCAAACATCTCTGAATTAGCTCTCTTTGCCGCTGATTGCTGACCATTGCAACTTGCAAGTTTCTTTCTGACAGATCAGGCAGTTCTCTGATGTTCATTTCACACAACAGAATTCCAAAACTGAACACATCAATCTAAACAGAAAATAACAAATTTAGATGTACTGTACAGTGATCAAGAAAAGAAAATGGTTGGAATACCCACAAACATCCATATAAACAACTTGAAGTTTTGGATGATTGTTGTCAGTGAAAAACATGCATCATCACTTGATTTTAGAATGGCTCTCAAAAAGTATTTACAAAAGCATACGTCGAATTAACTTAACTTACTAGCGTCATACATTTCTAATTACCTTTGAAGTCTGTTGCGCAACATCACTAGCCTCGGGAGCTGAATAGGCAGGTGCTCCTGGACTAACCGTGGAACACTGTCGGAAAAAATTAGCTGTACCATAATCAGACACTTTAGCTCTCCAAGAATTATTCTGTCTCCATAGCAACACATTACCACTGTTGATGTCGCGGTGAATGATGGGATCAGGATGATTGAGATGCAAGTAGTTTAAACCTCTTGCAACATCCAGTGCAATGGCCAATATCTCAGCTGGTTCCAGACCACGTACTTCCAAAACTGATCTTAAGGTGGTCTCCAGCAGTTCTGTGACAAACAGAGGACTTACAGCGTCATCAGCTGTAGCACCAATAAACTGAAGCAGACACGGGTGACGACATCGTGACGCCATGTTCATTTCTCGCTCAAACAGGCGTCTGTTATGAGGAGAAAGAATAAGTTGGTGGATTCTCTTGACAGCAACTGTACATCCACGAAATGTACCTTCTAAGACTTCTCCCCATGCTCCACTTCCGATGATTCTATCAGAAAGTGCTATCTCATTTCTTGTCAGGATCCAGTCAGGACGCTGCTGTCGAACAAGCTCTTCGCATCTTGTTTGGAGTTCATTTGCTGTTCGCTCGGCAACTCGAAGCATGTTCTGTGCTTCTTGCTGTTGTCTTTCTATTTCTTGTCTGCTTCCTCGTTCTTCGGTCAACTCTATTTGCATCCTCTGATTAGTTCGCTGTACTTCTTCTAAGGCATTGCGGAGCTGATTATATTCTGTTTCCTGCCGATTAAACCTACGTTGCTCTTCATCTAAGGAAGCTTGCAGTTGGGTAACTCTACACCGCTCCACTTCTAAGAAAGCTTGCGATTCCTCTAAGGAATCTTGCAGCTGGTTAATTGTACATTGCGATTCATTTAAGGAGGCTTGGAGCCGCATATTTGTACGTTGCGCTTCTGCAAAGGAAGTTCGTAAGTAGGTAGCTCTACGAAGATTTTCTGATGCTGACCTTTGAACTTTATTCCGTTCTTTTTGTGCTGAGGTTGCTTGAAGTTCACAATACTTGCTTCTTTCTGCTTCTAGAGAAGCTTCAGGCTCTTCAGATCTGATGGTTTTTGCTTCTAGGGAAGCTTCAAGTTCTTCACATCTTATGGTTTTTGCTTCTATGGAAGTTTCAAGCTCGTTACATCTTATGGTTTTTGCTTCTAGGGAAGCTTCAAGCTCTTCACATCTGTTTCTTTCTGCTTCAAATCTCTTTTTTTCTGTTGCTACGGAAGCTTCAAGTACATTACAGTTACGTTGTTGTTTTACTAAGCAAGCTTGAAGTTCTGCCACTAGGTGAGCATGATTTTCTTGTTTTGACAATGTTTGAGATTCTCTTCTACAAACGTTCCCTGAGAGAGGCTAAAACAGATCATTATCATCTCCTTAATAAAGTGAGTAAAAGAGAGAAAAAGCATATGAGGGCAACTCGATTTTCCTGAAACTTTGCATGCAAGTTGATTTCGTCCCGAAATTGAAAGATTATATGGGGATGAAAAGTTCTGAAAGATCCCGTCTGCTAACTGACGCAAGTCCCATGTGGTTGCCTTCCTCAAACCTAAGAAACCTGCTGACGATCCATAGATCAATGTTCACTGGTCCGTGCATCGCATAAACGACATCTTCAACAAGCCCAAGCAGGATTCATCAAAGGCAGATCCGTAACGGACCAAATGCTCTGCCTTGTCAGTCAATGACATAGATAATACATGACGTGAAGTAATGTAATGTCTTGCAGCGGGGGTCCTTTATACTTCCTCCTATTTGTATAGGTAATAAATGCCTCGCGTGATATTTCAAATTTGTGACAATTTTGAAAAATCTCAAGTGGTATTTATCCCAAATTCCACGTATAAAACATGCTATAATATTTGTTTATAAAATGGTCGAATAAAATTGTGCAATTTGAAATACCACTATGAAGGATAAATATACCACTCCTCTAAGCCAATCAAATTGCACAATTTTTTTTTCGACCATATAAAAAAATATCTAATTCGCGGAATATCCCGCCACTGCATCTTCAAAATTACTCCAAAATCCTCTGTAACTATTTCCGAATATGAACTAGTCAAGACTTTCTTCTCGATCGATCCTTGCCAAAAAGGAGCTAAAAGTGAGAATAAGGGACAAGAAGCAGAGAGTTTGACCGTGTAGCAGATCTTTAAATCAGGCCATACTTCCACCTGACTAAAGTAACATCATCCAATCACCGCAGGAAACACTCCATATGGTCACGAGGAAATATTCCGCCACAAGAGCTGCTGTTCTGTCCTTGCGTCCGACACGGATGGAAATGAGATTGAGAGGTGAATGTAAGGATTTAAATACTTTAAAAGTACCTGATCATAACCTCCTACGAAAGCTAGCCCATGATCGCTAGGGTACATCACCTGACAATGTAGGGCTATCCAGAATGTTCAAAACGACTGTCCGTCTGCAGACCTTGTAATATCCATGTTTTCTTCATTCGGGGGAGAGACAAAATTGCATGCAAGGTTTTAAGGAAAATCAAGTTTTGAAAGTAGCCAACAGATGGTTAATTCATTCATAGAAATCGACTCTTAAACAGAACCTAGATGCCTGGATAAATATTTTGGACCGCCACGCTCTTGTCAATGTTGGTGTTGATGATGATTATGATGAAGATGATGATATGCATTCATCGAAGCTTTATTTTACGTACCATTAAATCTTGAAATGCTCTCTCGGTTTCCACTTCAGCAGTAACTCTACAATAATAATCTTCAGTACATGTAGGGCACTCCCTTCTGTGTTCGAATGCTGCATCAATGCAAGATCCGCAAAATCGATGCTGGCACTTTGACCGCATTAGACGTGCAAATTGGTACCCGCAAATGGGGCAAAGATACTTCTTATCTTCTTTGTCCAATTTCGGTACATCTGCGTTCAGAAAATTATAAATGAATCGTATGTCCACATCCCTACGTACTCTAAACTAACTTCATTTCAAGATGGTTCACGGAGCTCTATTGAAACTAATTAACAAATTTCCAAATACTTGAAACTGGAATCAACATTGATCTGGGATAAACAGACTTCACAACGCATGTTACGTGTACTGATGCCTGCATAAAACCATTCTCAAACATAATTGATCAAACAAATTATATATATTTTCAAGAAATTGCTGATCAAAAAAGCAAGAATTAACCAAGTTTACGTGAGCTGAACGTATATCAACTATATGACTGAATGGAGGCTAATCGTTCTCAGCAACCGCTTGACAGATCTCGTTATTTATCCTCTGCAACGCAGATTGATAATGAATATAAAATAAGGTCGTGGGAAAAAATAATAAATAAAAATAATACAGATATAAACGGGTATGGGCATATTTTTCTAAATACGCGAATTTTACTTAAGGTGGCTTCCTATAGTTTTGTTCGACCATACCTCTCTGGTTTTTGAAATTATTGCCATTCACCAATTTATGTGGTGTTTGGACCAGTAATAAAGCAGTGACCAAAGTTTTATTTGTATGGCATTGAGCGGATTTCGTATGAGTGGGACACCGTTACCGCACGCCGTTACCGCACAGTTACTGGACCTGGCCTGCACAATTTTGGTGAACCAATGGGGCACTAGAATTTGGTTAGAGTACGATTACGGAAATAGTTGAAAACAAATTCATCTGTTCGATTTCGAGTAATATGCAAAAATCACATCCGTAAAATATTCGTGAATATTACGTACTGACGTACTCGTTTCAAATACACCATCAGAAGGGTTAATGATTCAAGTATTATATGTAAAAATCTGATATACGGGCATTTTGGATGCGAAGCCAGCGAGTTAAAAATAATTTCAATAATAATTTCAATTTAAGTGAAATAAATTTCACTCGCCGTTAGTTGGGAGTAAGCTTAATCAGCGACATTCAACATTAATCGATTAAGTAGCATCTATTAATATCGAGTTTTGACATTCCTGTGAAAAACCTAAACAGCACACATTCTAAAACCTTTACTTACCGAGGAAGTCATCATCAGCTTTCTTTGACGAGTCTGTCATTTCTGAAAGTAAGAGGAGTAAGATATCTCTGACAAACTAAACTAAATGCTTACACAAAAGCCAAACTCTTTTCTCTAACTTGTAAATGCAAAGATAATAGAGGATTAGGCCTAAACAACAACGAAAACTCGGTTATAATATCGATTCCTCCTGCATTTCCCGGCCTGGTGACGCTTCTGGCTCACATGCAAGCTATTCAAAGTCACGCGATCACCTTATACGTGGGACGTGGGACGGTAGCGGGATATAGATGCATAGGTTTAAAATGTACACTAAATACAACCACGACAAAAATGGCGATAAATGCTCAAATGACTACTTTATTTCAACAAAAATAAGCAAGAAAAATTTCCCTCATTGAAGACGTAAGACAAAAAAAGGATTAGTTAACGTAGTTACCCTTCTATGTCACGCAACATCACAAATGTCACTTCCGACGTTTCCGGGAATTTTCCCCTGTGCGAAAAATTCTGGTAAAACAACAGTACAATTACCAGTTCAAGATGGATTCGTATTTGTCAGAAGGCGACCTTGATGAAGAGAAAGCACGACGAAGCATTCTAGTGTCGAATATCCCTGAGAATTTG